AAGAAAAGCCGTAATTATACTTATTGTTACAATCCATTTAATAAAATGCAACATTTTTTTGTTTTAATGAAAAAAACAGTTATTTTCATGAGAACGATTTGTTAATTCCATCTCAATTTTTTTAATCTCCAATCGCAATAACGTAAAGTATTATTACCCACGAACCAATGGGTCAAATTAAAGAAACAACCCACTGTTAGAAAGCTGAATGGCTACGCTTTAAAATGAATGTAAACTTTAACGTTTTCGTCCATTATTTGTTTAGCAATTTACATTTCAGTCGAGGATTGCGCTTTTTTTGATACACCCTGTATATATATATATATATATATAGTTATATATATATATATATAGTTATATATATATACTCTGTATATATATATATATATATATATATATATATATATATATATATATATATATATATATATATATATATATATATATATATATATATATATGTATATATATATATATATATATATATATATATACTAGATCATACACCAACGTTAGCAAAAATGCAACTTGTGCCCGTGAAAGAAATATTATATAATACGTCAACGTAAGACTGCAACGCTCACCAAAAGAAGTGACCTTATGTCGGAATGTAGACATTCAAAGAAATTTATTCTGGACATTGCAATTACTTAGGTAGAAATATGAACCATAGCTTTTAACACTTAAACATTAGCATATAAACAATATTTTAATCCATCCGTGAAACAACACAACAATGAATATATAATGTACAGACACCGAACCCACATACTACCCATGTACTTAGATTTTATACAAATTCACTTGTAGATCAATATGACTTTTTAACATTTTAAATTTATTGTAATTTGTTTATCAATGAACTTCCCATGTAATCTAATATCTTCGATCGGCATTCGCCTGACGATTGCTTCAGTAGAAGCATGAAACTCAGAGGAGCAATTAAATATTTTTAATATAAGAAGTCTCCCTTAAAGAATGTGTGCCAACCGGCATGCACTGCGCGCTTCATTTGCTCTGGCGGCCAATTTTTTGGCAGAGAAATTCACGAGAACATTGTATTGCGAAGTAATCATCAATATTATTGTCCATCTTCGTATATGTTATACTATTTTTATAATTTTTGTCCATCTTCGTAATTTTTATTCATCTTCTATGTTATAATATTTTTATAATTTGGCTTGTGTTATATTTGAAGCAAAAAATACCACATTTATAAAATTAATACAGTATTAAATGGCATCGCCATCGTTGCCAAAGCGCGGCAGGCCAAAACTAGGCATTGAAGTTCACCGGATTGGCCTACGAATAGACGTCTATAACGAGTGGCAGGTACAAAAAGATTTGGTTGGAATGGCTGAGAAAACCCATAGTGAATTCGCTAGTCACCTACTGCAAATGTGTGAAGAAATGAGAGTGCGTCAAAACAATCAACAATGCTCAACTCCATCGAGTCAATCCCAAGGGCAAGGTGAGTTTATTATAAATTATATGCCATGATTATTCTTCCAACACCTATGATTTTAAGGAAATGGAATCTTCGTATTTTAGTATTTGTATTTTATTCATGTATGCTTGATTATTTACAGTGCCAGTGGATAAATGTTGGAACGAATTTTAATTATGATACAAATATTTGTTTTTTGTTCCATCAGGTCATGTTGTCCAGTCTACGCCATCACGACTTGTTAGAAGATCACTAATTCCTGAAGATATTCATCTGTCTCCTGTTCTGGCTGACGAATCTGAGATTGATAAGTAGATTCTAGATAGAAATAGAACTTTCCCACACCATTCCAAATATAAGCTCCCCCCCCCCGAATATAATCCCCCCCACATATTGAATATAATATCATTTTTGTTTCTTTTCATGTTTATAATTAACAATAAATACTTGGTTACCAATGTTGTCCATGTATAAGCCCCCTGTATATACTGTAAGGTGTATAAGCCTCCCCCTATATATAAGCCCATCAAAAAACACTTACAAAATTTATATAAGCCCAGGGCTTATAATCGGGGGTTTACGGTATTCGCTCACTATTTACAGGACAGTAGATGTTGCAGACACGTCGATTTGTCCCAGTTTGGATGTTAGCAGAATTGAGAGTCTGTGCACAAACATCAACCCTGAATTTGGAATGTTTCCTGGTAGGCTGTCATCAGAATCGGAAAGTGAGATATCTGAATCTTCAGAAACAACAAGGTGAACATTACTTTATAGTATTATCAAGTGCATAAATTATGATACTATGACTACACTTGGAAATATCCAGAGTCCTCGTTAGCTACAGTAGATATAATATTTTAATACTTTTTCCATTTGTGCACTGCATTAACATATTTTTAATTTATAAACAAGCAGCTCGGATTTGGTCAGTTCAGAATATGCTATGTATGATGCTGATGAGGATGATATGGATAATTTTGAACGGTGTGACGACAGTTTTTATGACAAAGATTTCATGGATGTTGACGATGAGATGTAAGTAAAATATTATTAAGTATAATAGTAAGATTGAGATTTTCACTCGGCCTTGGAACTCCAATTATTTTGTGAATACATGCTGTCAAGGCCACTTTTGAATGTTGTCAGGTCGCTCTCAGGCATTGAAGGGTAAAAAGTAAACAAAGTTCAATTAACAGAATTTGTGATTGACAAGTATTGTGGGATATGAGAGGACTATGAAAATAAACAATCCAAATTATTATTTAGAAGCAAAATGTAAAAACTTTGATTCAAGAATATTGGAATCAAAGATGTTATTTTGCAAGTAGTTTTAACTAAGCAAGCACTCTGATAACTAAGCAAGCACTCTGATAGCAATGCCTTTTACACTGACCAACAGCACCTTGACAACATTCAGATATGGCCTTAACAACGTTGTACCACCGCCTTGATAACATACACTGTGTGGTGATAAAGTTTTTGTAAATGTTCAAACATTTAAACAAAACATTTGGCATTCCAAGGTTGAATGAAATCACATTAATTATTTTGCTTTATAAAGTGAGATTATGATAGTGAAAGTCACATTGTATCAGTTTACCAGTAAACAGACCAATCAAAAGCAATTTTTCATACCAGAAAAAACATGGAGGTCAGATTTTTCCTTTCATGTTGAAGTATTCAGAATTCTTCATGTGTACTTTGGGTTTTCACCCATACCAAAAACATAGTAATTGAGTGTAGTTGTAGAACATATGTATTATGGGCCCATGGCTAGCTTGGCTTAAAGTGGGAAACCCATACCTACAAGTATTAGTATTGAATTCATTGTAGTAAATGCAGTACTATTTTCTTTTGAAGTTTTGAAGAGGCTGAAGGAGATGTGACATTAACTGCTTCAGAGGGTGAATCTTCAGAGGGTGAGCCTGATCATACTAAGGGAGAGGAAGATATGGATGTGAGCTATTTTGAAGAATGGGATAGAACTAACATAGAGGTACAGCATGGTCCAGAGACAAGGGATGATTGGGCACAGAGATTATTAAAACAGCTGAAAGAAGAATTTGATAAAGTGAATGTTGCAGGAAAACAGAGCCAGATTTTTGCAGACCATGGTCAACAGAGTCGAACAGTTGTTGAGGTAGATAAATTGTTGGAATTATTTAAAAACAATTGCCAAATGCATCTATGTACTGGACAAAGTAGAGTTGAAAATTGGAAAGCTGATGGGGGTGTTTTAATAATCACATGGAGATGCTGTCATGGTCATGGTGGGGTCTGGTCGTCATCAAAGGTTTTGTGCGTAAAGAAGGAACAGAATGTGTACACCACTACCATAATGATAGCTGCAGAAATTATTATCACAGGTGGCAATTATGAAAAGTTTGCACTATTTTGCAAATTTCTTGGTCGGTCATTCATCTCAAGGTCAACTTTTATGAGAATCCAAAAGAAGTATGTGATTCCTGAGATCAAGAGATTTTGGAAAGACATGAAGGCATCGATATGGAAAATCTTTTTTGGGGAAAGCATCATTCTTTGCGGTGATGGCAGAAATGATTCACCAGGTTTCAGTGCTAAGTATTGTGTGTATGTACTTATGGAGCAGTTTGTCAATGTAATCGTAGATATCGAAGTTGTAGACAAGCGTGAAACTGGTGGGGTGTCAACCAATATGGAAGTTTATGGACTGAAAAAACTGTTGGAACGTGTTGTTGGTGAGATTGTTGTGTCCGAAATTGTGACAGATGCTTCCACGGCAGTTGCCGCACTGGTTAAAAGAATGAAAGGTATAATAATAGTAGTAATAGATTAAAACATGAAAATTAGGTGCAGGAAAAAAAATTATTTCATGTCTTCCCATTAAGTTTTAATGCATTGTGTCCTAATGCACCTACATTATTATTTTACTCTGTCTAATGCCAGATGATTTTCCTAGACAATCCTGTTCATCAAGGGGAGATGGCACTGGCTCTTATAAATGGGTTAATTAATTAAATATATTTTATGGATTTTTTAGATAAATATCCTAATGAATTTGGTAACCTGTTTCATGCGCTTGACATTTGGCACAAATCTGTAAAGTTGACAAAGAAGCTGTCAAAGGTGATATTTAACTTCACTCCCTTATACAATATACTGTACGTTATTGTGTCATTTAGGAATATATAGTAATCATTAAATTAAATAAAACATAATCTCTTTAAGTGGTGAACATGGGGGAGAGTATTATTTTAGACAAAAAAAGTTTAACTAAAATTTCTAGCTACAAACATTGGTCAAATGCTGACACCCTAAAATCCTCTCGAGTGTCTGCGAAAGAACATCATCTTCGCTATAGAGTCATATTTTCCTAATTGAGATGTTCGGTTTGAATATTTTTGGTTTTAGGCTGCAAAAATTAAGGGTTGTGAGGTACTAAGCGAGTGGACCGAGCCAATACGAAACCACTTCTGGTATGTTGCACAAGAAAGTAAGGGCAACACAGAGAAATTAAAGGTGAGGAAAGTACTAACTTTCACGTTAGAATGTCATCCTTATATATTATAGTTAATAATAATCAGGGTTTGAATTAACAGTGTGAAAATACTGGACCAAATAGTGAACATTGCACATCACTTTTCCAAATGTTCTGTGGAAAATCAGACTTGGAAACTATTGGGACTATTTGCCTTATAAAGTAGGGCATATTGTAGCTTATTGGTTTAATGAATACACTTTAGGACAGCTGGTTTGGAGTTTTACATCATGTTGTTGGTGAACACGAATGGGCAGATGGCGAGTGCACACATGGTCCTCTTGTTTCCACTGAAGAAAACAAGACCTTGATGGATAAGGGTTCCAAGGCAATGGAAGCTTTGCGGAAAGTGGTGATGGATCCTCGCTTTCTTAATGCTTTGCACCATTATGTAACATTCAGGTATATTGACCGGTCATGGGACTTTACAGTGCATTTCTCATTATACACCTGCAGTAAGTTTATAATAGGCCCTTCACAGCTGGCCCTGTGCCATTGCTCTCCATAACAATTAAAATCGTCTAGCGCTAGGGGTAAAAACAAGGGGGTAAAATCACTTTTGCATAACAATATATCTGTGCTTTGTCTTACTGTAATCCTTCGTTTCCAAACCCCACTGATTTCAATATTCTCCACTCACTCATTGCTCTCAACTGATACTATTGAAGTACACCTATGGTGTTTACACTTGCACTTGTTGTTTGTGACTTGACTTCTATTGTGATTTTCTTCTTCTGATGGATGTGAATGAGTAGATGAGTTATCAATGTTCTGAGTACATATATACCCTCATCTGAACATTCATAATTCATTCACTCTTTCACATCCATCAGAAAAAGAAAGTCGCACCTAAAATCTCAGCAAAAAGTGGAAAATATAAAAATTGTGAAGTCATGTGAAGTAATGATTTATTTATTAGACACACCAGCAAGCTAGAAAATTTCAATTCAATGCTTTTGAAATATACACCAAAGCGAGTTGGATTTCAGTAAGTAATATGTAATCGTAAATAATGTATTTACTAATGTATTTGCAACACTCACTCTTTGTTTGGTGTTAGATGATATGGTGGCCACATATGGGCATGTTGCTGTCATTGTAGCTTAATGGATTTCAAATTGAAAGTCAAGATAATTATGTCAATTTATTTATTAAACTACAACATTGTTTTAGGAATGACTCATTTATAGCAAGAACATTACTTGCAGCTATTGACCACAACAGCCATCTCTTCAGACAAGCAGCTTTGAACAGGGATGGAAAGAAGAAATACAACAAAGTGTACAGCAAGCGTTCAAAGAACTGGAGAGTGACGGCTGTATTAGAAGAGAAGACCTATGACTTCTGGCCAGCTCTGACTTCTGGCATCCTGCAGAGGAGGATTGATGACAAGGATAGTATCCTAAAAAAAGTAGAACTGTCAGCAGAGCATCCGAAAAACATATGTCATTCAATTGCTATGCAGCCTGTCCCAGCTACGCAAGAAATTGTTGATCGGGCACTATCCAGATTTGCGAAGCCTACATGAACATATATTTTCTGTATTTTTATAATAGCCAGAGTAACAGGGTCTATTTTACAAAGAGAACCTGGCACAAACCCTAATCTAGTTGCTCTTCACCAAAAGTAAAATTTATATTTAGAGGGTGGTAAGGGATCTTTTTATTGATATGTGGCTAGGCAGGGACTTGTGTAAGGTCCTCTTCCCTCTCACCTACATTTACGTATATTTGAAAGAAAGGGAACATCAATCTCCTTCCCAGGTTCTTACTTCTTGTGGAGGAAAACTCCTGGTATGAGCTGGTCATGTGATCTGCTAAAATCTACAAGATTTTTCAAGTAGCAAAACAAGATGAGGTAAATATTGAAATGACTTGCATAGTTTAAACCATTGAGTGGCAGCGCTCTCTCCCTGACGAGTAAAATCGTCTGGCATTAGACAGAGAAAAATAATAAAATAGGGTGCATCTGGGCGCATTGCCACATAAAGGGTTAATTTATAGTCGGTTAATTAGAAATCTGCTAGATTTTGACAGATCAGATGACTAGCTCATACCAGGATATTTAATTCACTGTCCACAAGAGGTAAGAATCTGTGAATGAAGTTGGGGAATTATGGCCTGACATCAACTTTGGCTATGATGTATATAACAATTTTAGACATTTATGCATGCATATTATATATATATATTACAAATATGAAATCGAATATTCTATAAATGTTTAATTAAACTAACATGTCAAGCTCTCCTGAAACCCATATAGTTTCCATCATCAACAGGGAAAATGTGTTGAATGGTCAAGACTACACATGATGGGCACACCCTTCGATTGCCCCTGCCCAATTTCTTGTACCTCCAAAGGATATACTGACGGTATGCAGCCTTGCGGTAACTATTTGTTGAATAGTCAGGGTCCTCTACTCTTATGTCACATCTTGCTCTAATTGCAATCAACAAAACATCCCTGTCAGTACATGTGTTCTGGAATGTGACAAATGATGTAACACAACGAATCTTGCCACAACATTTGTTTTCTTCCTCAGTCGGCATGACACGACAGACACCACATACACACCAGGTAGGTTTTCCATCTGGGACAGGAGGGACAGCATCACCTGTGCTATATTTTACCAAATTCTTGGCATAATCCAGACTCCCTTTTCCATTTCACAACAAATTTAAAAGAATATTGTCTTTTTGAGCGTCGCTTAATTCCCCGATAAAGCCCTAAAATTATATATAAAGCCATTTATGAAGACATAAACCAGTAAAACTAAATATAACTGTGCCTAGAGTCTTGATGTCATAGCCAGATACATATAATAGTACAGTGACTTGTGCTTGGCAGCCATGTTTGCTTGACTAACAGGAAGAACAATGAATTATTCATTAGGGCGCATATGTGGAAATTTTCATTGAATATGCGTCGTATGTGCATCATTTAACTTTTATATTTGCGTTGTTTATAGTGTAATACTCATAATTATTTGGATTAATATAAAAGACCTGGCGTGCAAAAGATATATGGGAAATTAAAACGATCAAAATTCTGTATGAACACTTGCTTTGCTTACCGTAATCTCGCGGTTAGAAACCTCGATGGCCGCTTGATGGCGGTCAAATGCATTTTTCCCAGCATTTGCATTCGCCGTACTTTGTTCCTGGTTTTTTGACTTTTTTGACCCACAGGAACACTTGTCAGTGCAATGCAAATTTTCATCGCGACACGGACAACCGCGCTTTTTTCGTCCACTAAGTCTGCTACATGTATTCTTGCAGCTGCAAAACTATCAAATAAATACAATGAATAAATAGAAATATATATACCAATTAATAAAGGAATAAACAAAACATGAAATCACAAACATACCTGGGTTCGTTGAGGTTGAATGTTTTCAACAATTGTTGAAGCACTGGTAGTTGATGCATTGAAGGCATTGGCAGTTGATGCAACCTCTCCTAACTGAAATTGTGACCCTCCTTGGGAAAACATACGTTAACGTTTTGAAAAAACGGTCTAAAAAACCGTTCTGATACCGTTCAACATCCGTTAAAACGGAGAACACTAAACGTTTTAACGCTTTGGATAACCGTTAAAACGTTTTGCCTTCCCGTTAAAACGGCTTGGCCTATCCGTGAAAACGGTTTGGCCTTTCCGTGAAAATGGTTTGCCTGATCCGTGAAAACGGTTTGACCTATCCGTGAAAACGGTTTGACGTACCTGTGAAAACGGTTTGGTGTATCCGTGAAAACGGTCTGACATATCCGTGGAAAAGTTTTGATCATTCCGTTTAAACGGTTTGCTCTGTCCGTCAAAACGGTTTTATTAAACAGATTGAAGGATAACTCAAACGGTAAATCATGCCGATCAAACCACAGAAATGTCTTGTTGTCATTGCTTTGCAGTACGAAACTTGACAGCATGCCCGCTGAAAACGTATTGAGAAACCTTAGCAGCGACTAGCATATTCACATTAATTCACGCTACATCGCTGTTCATATATTAAAGCAAAGTTCTTTTAGTTTAGTTTACGGCGATTTATCTTATTCTATCCGTTTTGAAACAAATATGCATCCTTTGGATTTTCATGCTACCTCAACAGTCAAGGGCACACAGGTTGTCACCATGCATATAATATAAGCACGTTTCCAAGCCCTTAATTTTCAAGCAACTTTTAATCAGTCACAATAGCTTGTGATTTAATTAACATCTCACAGATGAAACAGAACTATGGCCAGACGTTCTTATAATTATAGTTCATAACTGAATATTTGTATGACAACTGCACATTTACATGTATCTGAAGTGTAATGCTGCGAAAATGTTCCCATAATATAGCCTATACTGTATACTAATTAGTCATTGCAAATCATTGCGTGATATCAATTACAAATCAAAGTCATTGATGTTTGATGATATTGAAGAACATTACCTACACTACCCGTCACTGCCACGTATTGAAGTTTGTTATAAATGCTGCATATAAAAATATGGTTCCTTCTCAGCGGTAATTGTAATAGACATGGATATAATTTAACACTATAATTATTATATACGCCACCATAATCAACGTAATTTACTTTTTGAAATTAAGAAACAAGAAAAAAATTGTCAACACATCTTACATAGATTATTATTAGTGACTATATGCATGGTGTTTTGTGTACTATACTATACTTTTTAGGCCTGGCAAACTGTACATTGCGTAGGCACGTTTACACTATAAAGACCTTACGTAAGTCTTAGGTCAGTTGTGTTATGTAAAAACACCGCCGCCAATCTTGGGTAAATGAGTGACTGTCTACTTAATGGAGAACAGCTTGAATTTCTTTAGAGTGTTTGATTTTGTAATTTTTGTTAGCATGGAAATCGACAAAACTTGAAACGTTTTTAAACACGAAAGAGATCTTTCTTGTTTGCGCATATACGCGTGCACCTTGACAAATGCATGCTTCTTAACAGTGGTTGTAAAGAACGTTTTTGTTTGGAACGCGGTCCGTAAAAGCTTAGTGACCAATTAAGCCCTGATCAGCTTTCATAACAATGTAATTACAAGCTTATGCATGAAAATAGCCAGAGACGTACAATAGAAAATAGTGCAAGTTGGAAAAAAAGAACATGAACTGCGAGCTGGTTACATAGTCGGGGTTTGGCAATCACAGTTTGAGCAATGCTATAACTAGCCTAGAACTAAAATGCATTAACTGTGTTGACGAAACCTTTGACAAGTGCTATTGTCTCAGTGAGTCAATTATAGCCTATGGCTCAGTATGCCCTGTTTGATATTGTGAACACATTCATGTGCAAAACTGGGCGTCCATACGGATGCTTAATATACGTATTGGTGATTTCCTCTATACTATCCTGTTAAGCACGGCTAATATTTTCTAATAATTCATAATTCGCTCTACACAACGGTGTAGTGGACTGGAACACAGGCTAAATTCGCTCCTGAATATTAGGCAATGAAGAGGTTAAAATAGATTTATCAGCGATGTTAAAGTTAAACAGGTTGAACGGTAATAAACAGCACTCAGCAAGGTATATTGGTATTTTGTAATATTGCAGATCATAATAACGACGATATGGCACTGAAAAATGTGAATGCACTCTTGAAAATGCACTCCTTAAATACTTTCCTTAAAATGCACAAAATCATGTGAATGCGAAACATGCACATATCATGTACCGGTCACTTGTCGTTCACGCTGTCGCTCATGTACATAATACATATTCGTCAACAAATAGACACACATATATTATGTCAATTAATGAAGGCTTCTATGTAGGAAGTACGGTTTCGTTTAGATTTCCTATAAGTCAACTCGTGTTATTTAGCTTCGCGGTTGAGCTCAAATTTTTCAGATTAAAGTGCGAATTTTAGCAATGGGGGGTTGATTTTATCCGCTCACTCGTTTTACTCCTTAAAATGTGAGTCGACTCGTAGCAAGTCTAGGTGACTTCGTTTTAAGCACTCTAGACTCGACCAAAATGTTGGATAAGACCTACTCTCTTCTAAATAGCATGTAGTAGTTTGTGGTTTATTGCCCTCCATAGTTTTACAAGCTTAGAAGAAGACCAACTCCCCCTAAATTTTCGCGCAATCACAATATCGCTGTTTCAGTAAAATGTCTTCACTCTTTAGCTTACACAGCTATATACTATTTGTTCGTAGTTCATATACAACTCTGTATATGATATGGTACATGTTGCAAGCTTGGATATATGTGAAGTAAAGATCGTACTTCACATAGATCATGCTATATAATACAATATATGTATACTATATCAACATTACAAAATATGTCGAGTCATAGCTTGGAACGCGTTAAAAAAAACAATACACCTAACCTCACGTCGTATTCTGACTTGTGATGTCGTCCGATATCTTTTAAGAAACATAAATCCATTTAGTCCAAGAATATAATCCCAAATAAATAAGTCAAATCCACGTCTTTCTTAACTTGAACATGCCTCACCGTCTTGTACCAGGCGCAAACTAGCCGCTAAAATAACAGTAGATAGATACATATTAAATTTCAAATTGCGGCTTACATAATTTGGCAATGTAAAGCTTTTTTACCTTTGCAAAGCCGCTTAGGAATGGTTTACACAGGATCAAGTTTGTTTGATATAAGTTCTATTTGAGTGAAAACCCTTTATAATCATTACCTATAAAACTAACTGGAATGAAATGTGGGTGTGACATGATACGGTCTTTATAGCGCTTTACCTGTTTCTGGTCTGCATATGGCTGCATATTATAGGCGTGATTTTAGGTATTTACAACATGAGCGGCCATGTTGCATCGATTATATGCAATTATACAAACTCGAGTTGAAGGCGAGAGTTTGTACTGTATATCCGACAAAATACGGACGCGAAGTAATTGGCGAAGTAATTTTAAAAATAAACGTTGTCTATATACGTATATAAGCTGAGAAAATCAGAGCTAATTTTTTTTTTTAAATCAACATGATTCTGTATCACAAACACAAATTCCTTCACGCAATGCATGCTTTCTTTTGTGTGTTTCTTCATGAATCACTCAGTTTTCTAATATAATTTATGGTTTCTTTCCCGCATCACAGAGTTACGTAAGATGGGGTTAGTTGATTGACAATGCAATTAGTATGAGTGTATATGTATGTAGCAAAATCAGAAAGATAAAGTCGCAGTCACCAGAGCACAAGAGTTCGTTTTGCCTGTCTTTTAATCACTTTATTACCTTCGTTTTGTTTTTGTCCGCCATTTTGAAATATATGCGGTATCATTCATTAATATATCGCAGGCGCTAGTCACGAAGTTCGGCCGAATGAGTTCCGAACCCGAAGGCCGAGCAAAAAGGGAAAAAATTGAGGAAAGGAGGGGAGTGAAATCAACATCACGTGATGGCTTATTGACCAATGGCTATGCGTTATTTGGATTTGGATTTCGGGTTATGCTCGTAACCCAGTCGCAACCAGAAATACACAAGAACTTCATATAATCTAAACAATCTGGCACATATTTTATGACATTTCATTGTTCGGCTGTTCGCGGGAGCGCGAAATGAATTCAAAACAGCATGCTTTAAGTCACGAGCAAGAAATTATATTGAAATTAGTTGAGTCAAAATACAGTTTGTTCCTTACTGGACAAGGTGGCTGTGGAAAGTCGTATTTGATAAAAAAAATTGTGGAAAAAGAATCCGCTCGCGGATGTTGTTTTGTGACTGCTTCGACTGGCATTGCTGCAGTCAATATATCAGGAACAACTATACATGCATTTGCTGGAATAAACACTGGAACAAAATCTGCACACGAGCTCTTAGGCACTGTTATATCGAATGAAGAAGCTGTTAAACGTTGGAATGATTGCAGAATTTTAGTTATAGACGAGATATCTATGATTGGAGCTGCCCTGTTCGAAAAGCTCGATTATGTTGCTCGTAGAATTCGAGGTAATTCTCAACCATTCGGTGGTATTCAGTTGTTGCTGAGTGGAGACTTCGTTCAGCTCAAACCTGTCAGCACTGAAGGCTGTGAAAAACAGGATTACTGCTTTAAGTCTACTTTATGGAATAAATGTGTAGATTTTAGTTTGGAGTTGACAAAAATATTTAGGCAGAACGAGCAAGAACTTCGCCATCTCCTTCAAGATGTCAGAAATGGCTGTATTTCTGTTATGTCCCGAAATTTAATTCATTATTTAAGTCGTGATTTGAAATGCGATCCTTTGGATAAAGTTCGATTATTTCCTCTTAGAGAAGATGCCAAATTAGCCAATGACGAGTGTATTGAACTTATTCCTGGAGAAAAATTTGTCTATAGATCACAGGACGACGGTAAGGTGTCTGTATTTGAACGAAGATGCTCTGCCGTTTCAGTTTTAGTTCTAAAAGTTGGAGCAAGAGTAGTTTTGTTAAAGAATCTAGACAAATCATTAGTAAACGGTTTGAGAGGAACTGTAATCGGAATAAGTGATGGATATCCTCGTGTACGTTTCGACAACAACCGTGTGCATGTCGTTCAGATGACACAATTTCTCGTTCAAGAAGGAAATATTGTTGTTGGAACCCGTAAACAATTGCCACTTGATTTGTGTTACGGAATGACAATTCACAAGAGCCAATCTATGAGCTTTCCTTATGTTGAAGTTGATCTTGGGAAGGTGTTTGAACATGGCCAGGCATATGTAGCCTTATCAAGGTCGGAGACACTTTCTGGTTTAAGGATACTGAATTTCAGGGAGAGAGCAGTTATTCCCAACGAACATGTTCAGATGTTTTATAAGACTCTGAACTCGTTTGAAGACGTTGAGAGCTGTATGTTTGATCTTAATGCATTACCCCCAAAATGCAGAGAAATTACTGATATGGGTAAGGTATGCCTGGCTACAAAGATAACAATTGAAAGTCCAGCTAGTAAACCAAATATACCAACTCTTCAGGAAGAATTTTCCAATCTACAACCGCTTAACGTTGGATGTCTACTCCCAGCAATCAAATGGATAAAACTACATGTCGTCAGTGAAGAAATGAATTTGTTTTTCAATTCTTTGGGCCTTCAAACTGCAAAGAATATGGAGCAACTGAACAAGCACCTCGTCAGCTTCAT